GCACGGGGTATAGAGAATGATGTGAGGACGATAAGAAGCTGTGACAAAGAAAAAACCCTTATGTGGTGCGTTACTGTTACAGCCCCTAAACAGATAATGTTTCATATTTGATATTCAATTTGTGTGAATGTTGAAACTTCTACATCATCAGCGTGATTCCCATTAAAATGTACGGAACCAGAAATGTCTCCAAATCAAGAGCACCCCCAAAAAGAAATCAGCATTAAAGTATAATATATGATGTACCTGAGCGGTGACAAAAAAAATTTTGGCTAGCTGCAGGATCAGTTTAAAAGGATAGCGCCCCTTGGCATGATATTTATCACAAGGGCTCATAAAGAAGTATTTTAGCTTCCTGCAAATCGCCTCCTCTTCCTCTCCAGCGTGGACCCAGTGACATCCTGCTGCTGTGGCAAACCGGTGGTGGTTACAGTTGTTGTCATGACTGTTAATTTGATAGTCATCCTCGCCACTGCTGTCTGTGGAGCCGTAGCGAGTCACCGGAGAGGGAAGTCTTTCCCGCTCTGATAGGGGGGGGAAAAAAAAAAAAAAAGATTTTAATTTTTCTAAAATATATCTTTTTAAAAACACTCTTTAAATTGGCCAACAAGTTTACAATGAGACCCTGGTTGTTCGGTAAAAAATATTGTCCAATGTATCAGTAATTTACCAATAAACTGACCTGGTCTACTAATGCAACACGTTAGTTGATAATGGTGTAGAATATATGCAAGACTAGAACTGAAATCCAACATCTGAAGCAGACTTTGGTCCAATAGAACATGCTGTGAAATCTTTCAGGTCTGGTTTTCATTATTCACATAACACAGCATTGTATCTGAGGACTGGTATTCATCAATGTTAAGAAAGGTAAACCCACATGTGCAGCGTTTTTCTCGAACTACTGGAAACTTCTCCTGAACTTACTTTAGTTTACTCACTCTTCATGCAGTTGTTTTTTTTTTATTCATTTTTGAAAACGCAGCTTGTTCCTCTCAGTCAGTAACACTTTGATAATCGCAAAAATCTTTGCATTTTATTGACTTTAATATAATCTATATCAGATGCTTATTTATAATGATAACATGCCTTGTTGTGGTGAAATAAAAAGATGAACTTAACTGCTAAACTTAAATCACGATAAGCTGAAAAGGCAAAGGCAAAGATAAATTGTGGCAATGAAGTAATTATGCAAAACACAGAAATTCCTTTTTGTGCAATCAAGCAGTTGGGCTGCTTTCCTTGCAACCACGTGTTGCAAGGAAAGCAGCAGTCATGTGAATTGAGCAAATTTCACATATCTAAGTTTTTTTCAGCTGAGACAAGTCATTTATGGGCTGACTGTGCATCCAAGCATGATTGGTAAATGACTGGTAAAAGGAAATTAGGAAATGAATGCATTTTCTGTTATTTCTGACTATTGAATAAAATGTCCATGCTTGAGTAAATGAAACTCCACTTAACAGCATTTTACAGCTACAATGTTGGTGACTGAAAAGAACCTCTAGGCCTAAAAGTCCTCTCTTCAGGAATAACACTGCAATCATTTCCTGGAATACGTGATTTAATCTTCCCCAGACTACTTCTAGAAACAGATTCCTGAACACACCACGGTTTTCTTGGAACCCATCATAGTCCTCGTTGTGTCTAATACTTTCTCTTTATCTCAGATCTCATTATCTCAGTGAGGTCAGCTCTGCATCACACGATAGCTAACCTGTCCAACTCAGAGTCTATTCAGACTCATGTGAAAGAAGAAATGCTGCTCTCAATTAACCAACACGCTTTGAGTCTCTAACGTAGTTTTTTTTTTTTTAAATGACACGGATTCATACACTCCGTTTAGGTTTATTGAGTAGTTTTACTCTCCACTTTTTCCTTCTTGAGAAAAAAAATTGAAAAGTTTGTGAGAAAGTCTGAAACTCTATATTCCTGAAGAGACTGCTCTCCCAAAAGAGTCATAAGAGACTGTTGCAGATATCAAGTATCTGGTTTCTGCGATTGGTAAGAGATGATAAATCTGGCCCGACTTTGTTAGCCACGGCTAAGAACAGAGAAGTAAGGGCACACTGATTTTGACCTCGGCCCGATGATAAGGTGCTTTTGATATCAAATGCAAAACACACTGTGGTGTGATGTTTACGTGTCATGGGTTTTTGCAGTTGAAATTACACAAACAAGATGTCAGGTTTAGTTTTTTTCCTTCTATGACACTGGTTATATCAGATAAGTTACATATAGAGAGACGTTATGACGCTCATGAAATCCTTAATGTAAGTCTGATGGAGAGTTCTGGAACATCACAGATAGCAGCTGTTTCGCAAGCATATATCAATGACAGACAGGTACAGCTGTGTCAGGTTTTTCAGTCCTGTTGCCACAGGTGTCTAAAATCAAGCATCTACGCATGCAGTCTATCTTTACAAACATTTGTGAAAGAAGGGGTGGCTCTAAAGAGCTCACTGAATTCGAGTGTTGTACTATAAAAGGATGCCACCACTGTAAGTCAGTTCATGGACTTTCTTCCCACCTACATATTCCACAATTAACAGAAAGTGGTATTACTGCAAAGTGGAAGCACTGAGGAACTACAGCACCTCAGCCATGAAGTGGCAGACCACGTGAAGTTACAGAGTGGTGCACCACTGTGTGCAGAGGTGCATAGTGCGTAAATGTCACCAGCACACTCCTGACTCTGGCATTAACATCAGCAGAAAAACTGCGCCAGGAGCTTCATGGCATGGGTTTCCATGACCGAGCACTTCTTGTATCTAATATCAAATTTAGATAAATGCACTTTAAAAGAAAACCTTTTCTCTGATGAGCTGAGTGAAATGTGTGTTAATGTGCACGTGTGCAAATTAACAAAACCCCTGACTCTGTCGGCACTTTGAACTGAGCCAGATGCTTTAAAAAAAATGATAAAACTTCATCTGTTCACAGTAATCAGCAGCTTTTACATACTGCAGACAAACACACACACAAGATAATTATACAATAAATATCAAATATAAAATGATACAAAGAACGTGTCCATATTAAGTGCATATGCACATATCAAAACTTTTGTTTTGCCAATGTCCATACAGATCAATTGTATTTCATTCTTTTAAATGTTTGAAATAAATCAATCCTATCCATTCATCCACAAGACAATATATCATGTTTTAACACTGCCTTTATAAAAAAAAAAAAAAAAAAGCCCCACTCACACACTGTGACCCACAGCTAATACTTGTCACATGTTTTTTGGTTCGCTTACCCTGCTTATTATAAAGAAAGGAACAAAGAACAGGGTCATTCAGTTTGTTCGCTTTATACTGAGGAAACAACACGGTGGCAATAAACCTAAAACTCTTTACGTAATCTGTTTACTGACCTTTAATCGACAGTTATGAGTTATTTCTCAAAATGATCACTTGCAAGATCACATACACGATTGAATTAGGGAGGCAAAACCTGTTAGTCATACTCGACGTGTCAGCAGAGCAAACTACCAGCTTAGCAGTGTCTCTTGCAAATGGGAAGTAAAACAGGAGAAGTAAACCCTGTTGTGTCCAGTATTAGTCAGCATTACCTGTAAGAAGAAAGTTCAGCGAAATAACTTTACACAGCAAAGTTTGGAGCTGGAATAACGCCAGGTTTGTCGTGCAATATTCCTTCACTTAGTTTATAAGATTACCGTTCCTGAAAGGAAAAGCCTCTTTTTGCAAGTAATTACCCGTGACACAAAAGTAAACAAACAAGAAACCTCAAAAGGAGAGAACGGCTGTTAGTCTTACTTCTACTGACATGGATGCAGGCGGAAAGTTTTGACAGGTGATTGATGAATGGCTTCTTGGACTGTTAAAGGAGCAGTCCGCATGCTTTTGTTTCAAGTGACAAGCATATCTGAGATGTATTTAAATCAATGCTATAGTTTAAATGTCACAGTTTTGCTTTTTTATATCTAAGGTTGAGTAAAATACATTGCTTAATTTAGGAAATCAACAGTAAAAGGAGATTTTATGGAATCTGCATGTGGTAAACTGCAGTAAACCAAAGCCATATTTGTAGGGGTCACTTCCTGCTGTAACCAACACCTGCAGTTAACCTGTGAGAATTTCTAGCTGTAAAGTTAAATAAATAACACACCAATGAACATTTGGTGTTAGCACAGTATGATGGAAACAGTTTTTTTAATTATCTCAGCTAGAAAGGAGGCCGGGCTTTGGTTGCGTGCCTCGGTGAGAGGAATGTGAAGCATCCAAAAGAATCCAACAACTTAACATTTTACGCAGACAACTGGAGCAGCATTCATTTATATCTATGATCGTAGGAGTGCATTGATTGACATGGCAGATAGCAATCAGACAAACAAAAGTGGATGCAGGCCAATGACTAAGCCATCCCATTTGACACTTAAGAGACAGGATCTCAGATGCTGCAGAAATCTATAGAAATATCTGGCTCTTCTGGTTCACTGTCGCCTGTGGCACTCGCAGAAACACTGATAAAGTTGCCTTTCTATCAATCAAAAACTGGAAATCTCTCATATCAGTGTTTAGATCTAGTCTAGTTGTCCAAAGTAAAAGGCCACACACAGGCTAAGAATCAAACTCTTCCACTTATAAAAAAAAACTTAAAGGAAAAATCTTAAATGAAAACAGAAAGACTGGCAGCTGTGTTCAGGGTTGTTTTGCACGTAGGAAGTGATCCATGAGTGAACTTAAATTGGTCTTTGTTCTGCAGCAATATGCTTAACTTTAAGCATTTGGTTTAAGATCTTTTTCAGGTTTATCTTCTTTGGAAGTGAAAAAGCCCTGATAATGGTTTTATATGCTAATTTTTTTTATATAGCCATCTCTCAAAGTTCTGTTGCAAATATGTGAGAAACTAGAAGGTAAAGAAATACAAGTTAAAAACTCAACATCCATCCATTTTTCCTGTTTACAGGAATGTCATAAGGGTGGATCGGTGGATAACCCAACGCTCTCACACCCACAATTACAGATACATTTAGGATCACAACCTAATAGGCATTCCTTTGTTCAGAACCCACACACACAGGAAAAGCATGCAAATGCCACAAAAAAAAGGCTCCAGCAAGTCAGCAGGTTCGAATCCAGAACCTTCTTGCTGTGAGAGGACTATGGTAGTACTGCACCACGGTGCTGCCACTAAAAACAAGTTTAATGTCATTTTACTGCTTAGAAAAACTCAACAGTTTATCATAGTTCTAGAAATATTGTACACGAAGTCACGAAGATGTCTGATGTACAACCTGAAACTACAGTCTGTGCACATGAGTAACTTGTCACCAGCAAGGGGAGGGCGAAACAATCCTTAATTTTAAGTTATTGCTCATACATATTTTAGGAATATTTAACATGTGTCTCGTTGAGGTTTGTTGCTTACTGTAAGTTTTCAACACTGTCAGAAAGTCTCAAAAGGTTACTTCAGTTAAGTCAAATTTCTTCTCTTGAGGTCAAAAACAGACTTTCACTATTAGTTAGAAAATTCTCATCAGCATGTCTCACTGGAGCTGTACTTCATTTTATACACACTAATAATCCATCAGAAAACAGAGACTCAACCATGCATGTAAGTAGCTTATCAGACAGAGGCAGTGTGACTATGCATGAAAGACTTCGGATGCTGATTTCATAGGTTTGCTAAAAAGGGTGGTGGTCTTCATGGTTGTAGTGCAGGATTTGATCTGGGTTTGGGGAGACAGTCTTCATTACCAAAGTAATACTTTTCCTTCACTGGAAATAACTTTATACACTGCTGTACATTTTAATCTATAAAAACAGTGCATCATTTATCAGCAGATTCATATTGGCTGCAAAATAGTCAGTAAATCAAGTTTTAAAACAAATGAAATTAAATGCTGTACTCCCTTTAAACACTTTTGCAGTCCACACACAGCTTTCAAAAAGTAAAGTTTCAAAAGTACAAGAATGTACAAGAACACTACGACTGTCACCTTCTTATTCTGTTACTTCCAGTACTGATCCCCATACCCTTCCTATAATGTGAAGAGTTATTGGAAGAAAGGTTTGCTTCACAGGTTAGTTTGAGACTATGATTAGAGGGACCACTATCACTGGCATTATTATGTTGAAAACTGCATATGGATGATATTTTATTGGAGGATTTCACAATAACTACTAATTAGTACCAAGGCATCTAATTTTATTATAATCTAGTAATTACAGTCTGGAATGCATGCAGTTGAAGGTAAGATCATTAAAAACGAAAACAATGACATAACTAACAATCATCTTTCATTTTGATGGGTCTGTCAGAGTTTCAAGATTAACCAATAATCCCACCGTTCATACATCTTAGAGAAAGGACATTATAGGATGAATCCACACGAGCTAAACTTATGACAAAATACAAAGATATTAAATGCAGTGTTGCAAAATTAATAAAAACAGCAGATCTTTCTCTTTGTGTCATAATGTGTTTTTGATTTGCATTTATTGGTTTTTAATGCTCTGCGTTAAAACAGCGCCCCGAACAACTTCTGTGTTAATCTTTTAGAGTTAAACATGCAGTATATCATGTGATCATGTCCGAGTTGCATGTCTGATGGAGGAGCAAAAGAAGGAAAATCCCACTTTGTCAACAAGGATTCAAATATGTGGTCATGGAGCACAAAAAAGAACTGATGTTAGCGGAACATTTGGACACAAAAACCACTTGATGACACTGAGTGCTGTACTTAGCAGCCCAGAAGATGACAGAGCAGAAAAACAGTTTCGTTTGAGGTTGCAATGTTACTCAGATTTAAACTCATTACCTGTTAGCCTTTAAACACAAAAAATCAGGTTGAAGCTAATTTACGCATCGCAAAGAGCCAGCAGCAGGGGAGTGTACTAGAAACCAAAGTAAACAAAACCACAGTCGTTACGGATAAGATAAATTAAGTAGTTAAATGTTAGCGCTACATTACCAGAGGAGTCCTTCCGTCCTGTCGTAGCCATGTAGTTATCTGTTAAAATACATAAATAGGTGAAGAAAACGGTTAAACCTATCGCCAAGCGAGTGCTTTCTCGGGAGCTGTAACTGTTGATCACTGACGAGGTTAAAAACTAAAAGCGTTTCCGCTCTGTGCAGAGCACGTGACCTATATCAATTTTGACCACGTGACTCCTGCAGGAACCCTCTCGCGCTGACATTTTTAACAGTTTATATGGTTTTCTATTTTCTAATTCGTTTGACTATTTGCTTTCAGCTTAGTTTATTTCCGTTTCCAGAGTTTTCTTGTTTCAGGTTAATTTTTATTGTTTGATTATTTGTTTAAGTTTATTTCTTTTTTTCAAACCTCCCTCAGTATCTCACTATGGGAAGCGCCCTCTGGCATGGCCAATCACGGAAGCTCAACAAGGAACACGTGGGTCCAGGACAGCCCAATCACTTCAGGGACATGGGGTCTGACCCGCTTATAATAACGTGACCAACCGTCCTCTTTTCCCAGGACATGTGCACTTTTCATGTTCTGTCCGGGACGTCCGGGGGGGCGGGGGGGATTTTCGAGATTAATGAAAATGTCCGGGTTTTCCTACAGAGGACCCATATGTGTGACGTCATCCCCGAGGTGCTGCTTTGTGTTATTGTTCTGCCCTTAAAAAAAAATGTTGTTCTGCCCTCACAGACGGGACAGACAGGGCGCAACAGCGCGCCTGGTGATGTTTCAAAAATGCCAAAGCGCAACTGCAGCTTTTCAGACGAACTGCAAAAGAAATTTCCTTCGTACCGTCCCGGTACTGATAATTTTTCTTATACAGATGAGGCCTTATTTCTGTACCATTATTTAATTCCAGAGGTTTTTAAGTTTTTTTGCCCTTGTTGACTTGTAAAAGCCTATATGACATTTTTGTTTCACCATTCATTAACCGCACAGAGAAGGCATCGTTTAAATATGTTAAAATTTTCTTTAAGCAAACAGTATTATTAAAGTTCTTCATGACTGGGCCAAGTGTTCTCTTTTTTGGAAATCAAAATATGGTCACCCTAGCTTATAATAGCCCCCGCCCCACACCACCCCTTGAAGATCATAAAAGCTTTGTGCAGAACTTTGTGCACTAATTAATTAGACTAAACAATTATTTACTTTAGCTCAAGTTATTACGTTCGCTAAAAAGTTGGGATGCT